CCCCCTCTCCCGCCAACGGCCCTCTCTGTATGGTTTCCCCATTCTGTATTCTTTCTATGTATATTACTTAGGATTGCTTCCTGTAGTATAGTTCTGTTGTGTACTGATACGCTTATTGTTGGATGCTGTAGATACTCATCACCATCCCATGAAAGATGTCCCTACAGTCATTCTCTTGGTTTTTCTGTCATCTCCCTTTGTACCATTTACAGTTTGTAGATGCCTGTTGCTTTCCTCATTTTATTTACCAGCAATCTGACACTCCAGAAATTTATATCCAGCAGATGGCATCCTCGCTGTGGTGTTGGTGATTTCACCTTTGTTTTACTCATTTGTCTGGATACTGTGCACCTGCACCAGCACCTCTGGGCTCATGAGTCTACAGGGTGGCCAGTGACCCGGCAGCAGCTCCAGCTCTCCTCCCCGTGCTCCTCGGGTGAAAGGAGCCGCTCTCTACCACCAATGTGGCACTGTCTGAAGGTAAAGCAGTGTGGGCACAGCGCATCCAATCCCATCCATTCATCAGCCATGTTTTCATGGAGTCCTGGTGCGAGACGTCCGCAGTGGCCTTCTGGTGCCACGCGTGTTGGTGACCCCACAGCCATTCTGAGCCTCGCTGATGGAGCCTCGAGCTGCCCAGGCAGAAGGTAGTAGGCAGGGCAGCTGCAACTGGCCTCAGTGGTCATTTTCTGAGGAGTTTTGATGAGAATGAGCTTGCCCAAGAGGGTCAACTGTATGTCACCACATCATGGTAGGGTCAGAGAGCCGCTTACCACCTGCCTGGAGGTGTGAAACAGCTACATAATAGCTGCTGGGACACGTTCCCTATGACACACAGGCTCGGGCACACAGGAGTCATAAGCAGATGGCACGCCCGAGCCTGTGTTTTCCTCTTCCCCTCCTCCCCGGCAGGTAAATCCCACCAGCACCCACCCTAAACCACCCCATGCCAGCCCTAATCCTATCTCGGCGGAGGCTGTCAGCCACCTATCATCTGGGCCAGGGACGGACGGTCCCGGGAGGGACACCCCTGTGCCCTGCAGAGCCCGGGGGACAGCAGGGCTGGCACCGGGCACTGGCCCGGGGAAGGCGAGCAGGGTGGTGGAAAGGGGCCGCCCATCTTCCAGGTCTCTGGAGAAGGAGGGGGAGCCCAGAGCTGAGCGGAGCTTTGTCCTGGGTTAATTTTAGCCCAAGGAGATAAGAGAGAGGAGGGAGGCGCATGGCAGAGCTTAAGGGGTCCCTCTGCCCCGGCGCGGGGCAGGCCTGGCCTCTGCCGTCCCTTCAGGCGTGGGGCGGGCTGTGGGGTGCCTGGGGAGCTGGCGGGGCCCGGCTGCTCCCCCCGGCCGGGCTGGGGCCTCGTCTCACCCCACGGAGCGGGGTGGTGCAGGCAGCGGCTGTGGGGCGCACAGGCCACCGCCCCAGGGCCAGCGTTTGGGGCGCAGGGGGCTCCCTGGGGGCGACCGTGCCCGTCAGGGGGTGCGTGGGAGGGTGACCACGGGGTTCTACTTGAGCGGGGGGTTCCCTGCCTGGGGAGGTGGGTACCTGCGGGGAGACCGCCTGCGTGGGCGTACCTGAGTGGGGGTGATTCCGGTGCGGGAGAGCGTACACATACACGCGAGGGGGTCAGCCTGCGGGGCTGCACCCGACTGCGGGTGCACACGTGGGGGTACCCC